GCCCACGCGTATTGGTACGTGTGGATGTTCCCCGGCCGCCTCTCTAGCCCCGCCGCAATTTGTTTCTGTATTTATTCAATATTTTGTGGAAACAATCAAATTGTTCTTTGTCCATATGGAAGTACATAGGTATCGACTACGATCTGCCTCCAGCTCTCTCATTAATACATGGAAAGCACCATATTTTTCTCGATTCCTGTTTATTTTGTGCATCCAGAATCTCCTTTTTTTTTTTGTTCTATAAAATCAGAGCTGCAGCAGCACATTCTTCTAGAAACTAAGTCACTAGACGAACTGCTTCTATACTCCATAATGTACTCAAGATACTGATGGTACTGACAATTTTTCTGAATAAAATGTATAGAGTAAAATGAACGTGTCATCACGTGGCGTGTTACAAATTTGCACACAAACTGTCCCACGTGAACCTATGTCACATGGCGTGGGGTGGCTCTTCACTCTTCCGTGCTATTATTTTTTGTTTCTACAACTCAAGATCTCTCACATTTTCTCTAAGCGGGCCATGGGATGGGGCGGCAAATTTACTCATTGCCCAGGGCGGCAAAATTCCTAGAGCCGGCCCTGATTCAGGCTTTGATAAGTATAAAGTAGGTACTAGGTTAAATATCACTGTAGGTTAGATATGTTTTGAAAGAGTTAAAAGACCTACAAAACTCTGGCATCAAAAATGTCAAGATTGTCAGAATATGTATTAGCCAGTCTTGCCACGCATGGCAGGAACGAATTAAATTCAATATTAGTTCGCCTAAAAGGCTGAACAAATATGTTAGATGATTTAGTATTGTAGATGGAACTCAGAGCAATATAGACGAATTTAAAATAGGAGAGTCAACAATACAATTTATAAGTTTAAAAAACAGCTTGAGATCTGCCTAGTCCCTTCTAAGCTTTCATGTCGGTAGGTAGTGCAAATCTTTCTTGAAGCAGTTTGAAATCGTAGCTGTAATCATCCTGGGAGGAAATGTTAGATTTCCAAGCCAAATACCCAAGGAAATTTCTTTGAACCTGTTCAATCCTGTCAATATGACACGCCTAATGAGGGTTGCAAACTTTTGAACAATATTCCAATAAAGGTCTTACAAGGCTACAGTACAACGTTTTAATAGCAGATATACTTGTCAAGTCTGATGTAGTTCTCTTGATGAAGCTAAGCATACTCAGTGCTCTGCAAACTGTAGTAATAAAATTATATATGATAGCATGGAGTTCATTGTAACTCCGAGGTCGCGAATGATTGAAACCTGAGACTGAAGTGAGCCTTTTATGTTATAATTAAACACAATCTTGTTGCGTTTTTTGGTAAAACAAATTAGCAATGTTTAAATACATTGCGTTGAGGCCACAACATTCAACAACTCTGTCCAAATCTGATTGGAGCTTAAGGCAGTCCTCCAAGGAAAAAATAGTTATATAGACAAATTAGTACGGAAAATGGGCTAACGTCAAACTAATTGCAATACAATTTCTTTGAGTGGTTTCCTAATGAAAATTTTCTGTAGAAAACGATGGTGAAAAGTCTACCACTCTATGATGACGCGTTTTTCCAAAATGGCGGATCTTCCAATATGGCTGACCATTATTTTGATACATTATATACAGGGTGTCCCAGCTGAGAGTGATCCATTTTAAATGCTTATAACTTTTAAACCAGGTGAGCTAGCTACCTGCGGTTTGTGCCATTCGATTTCTCTTGGTCTAAAGTTTTTTCTAGTAGGATTCAAATTTTTTTGAAACTTATACAGGGCGAGTAAAAAAAAATCCGTTTTTCAACACCGAAATTGACCACTATTTTCAATGGAACGTCCTGTATGTCGCAACGTCAAAAAATAAATTCATGTTTAAGGTATCCATGTACCAATAGACATCGTCCCTAAAACTTGAAGTTTTAGCCGAGGAAAATCAAAATCTAAATCTTGGTATTTTTGCAAACACCTATTTTCAAAGCTTCAACCTTATGTTTGTCTAATAAAAAGTTAATAACAACTGCATAAAACTATACAAAAAGCTGTAGGTACCTATATGTATATGTTAGCCATTCTGTTCCAGGCATTTGTGGATCAATAAATGGTTGAATGAATTGTGTAACATTTCCTGGAGAATCGCTTCAATTACATTACAAATGTTCCACTTAAGATCTTTCAGGCTATTTTAGCAAAGTATTGCCGCATCTTTCCTTGACATAACGCCAGAGAAAAGAGTCTAGAACTCTCAAGTCAAGAGAGTAAGGTGTCCATTCTATAGGCCAGCGGCCAGCTCTCCTTATCCGTCTTTCCCCAAATGTCATATCTAGTGATTCCATTGCTATTAATGAATAATGAGGTGGGGGCATCATCCTGCTGAAAATAGATATCATTCAAGATAACCTCCTGTCTCAACTATGGGAGAAAGAACATATCAGTGTATACAGTTTCTGTTATTGTTGGTTCATCAATGAAAATGTATCTCAACTTAATTGATATCTAACTAGACAGTTACAAAATTGTTTGCCATAGTGATATCAAGTTCCTACAACATGAAGTTGCATGCGTATGCAAAAATACCAAGATTTCGATTTTGATTTTTTTTCGGCTAAAGCTTCAAGTTTTAGGGACGATGTCTATTGTTACATGGAAACCTTAAACATTAATCTTTTTTTTGACGTTGTGATATAAAGGGTGTTCCATTAGAAATAGTGGAGAATTTCGATGTTGAAAAACGGATTTTTTTTTACTCGCCCTGTATAAGTCTTAAAAAAATTTGAAACCTACTGGAAAAAACTTTAGACCAAGAGAAATCGAATGGCACAAACCGCAGGTAGCTAGCTCACCTGGTTTGAAAGTTATAAGCATATAAAATGGGTCACTCTCGGCTGGGACACCCTGTATTAGAACTTGAAATTGAAAATTCAGTCCATGAACGATTAGCACAATGATTATACGAAACTATACTGCACACAGTTTAAACATTTTTGGGGGATTGGGCGCATGCGGTGCATGGATTTTGGGAAAGCTATGACACATATAGCTTGTTGCTTGTTCTTTGGCAGCATGTTCACATAGGTTTAAAAATATACTAGAAACTCATTGCATACTGCCCCAGAAAACAAGATACCTACTTGAGTCATAGCTTTCCCAAATTGGATGCACTTCACGCCCCTGTGAGGGACATATAGTAGCAGTATACAATTTGTGAGTAATAATTGTAGATTGTAGAAAACATTCACTTAAAATTCATTCAATTAAAATACCTTTTAGTTCAAAATAGGTATTTTTTTATTTATTTATGATAATAGTTTTCTCTCAATCATCGTCCATGTCCACTTCCATAGAATTGCAGCAGACTTTTCGAGTTCAAAATAATTTTTTATTCATTCACAATATTAGTTTTTCCTCAATCATCATCCATGTCCATTTACATAGAATTGCAGCAGCTCATTCCTCTGCAAATTGTGCACTCATCTGGGCACATTATTGCCTTTCATTTGCATACATATACATTGCACATTGACCTTTTCACAAATTTCAGTAAATGAGTTGGGGCTGCTTGACTCATTTTAATAGGAGACAAGCTTTCATCCTTTACTTCAAATCCCCACTGTAATGGATTCATATCAACACCCATTCACTGTTGCACTTGATGATATACCCGGAAGGAATGAAATTTGCTTGCATTCTCTGTAGGAGGCAAAACTTCACATGGATTGTTGATTTTGTTGCCTCTGAAGGGAAATTTCGAAGTTTCATATCATGTAATATGTGCTGTCTCATGTTTTTCCTTCATACATAAATATAATGGCATTCAGACCAGCATTTGAGATTTCTTCTGTGGATTTTGGAGAAGTTTGAGAAATGACAGCACTATCTTTGAAGGTGTCTGATTTTCTTAGCAGTTTTATGAAGTCACTTTTTCCTGATCCAAATGATTTCAAGGTGGTATCACATCCTAATATGGCGTAAGTAAATAAGATGTGAGAGCAGACGTCATTACTCTATATGTGTTTACAATTTTTCCGATATCATAGATAGTTATGGTTTTGGAAAATTTGTAGGCTGGGTGAAGAAAAATATTACATAAGTTCTTGTCCAACAATAGCTGTAGGATGACTTTTTTACGACTCTCTAGCTTCCATAATGATCAAGACGTCTGCATCTGAGATTGTTTTGTTTTACACCCAGCTTCGTGTAAATTTTCTGATAATTGTGCAATGAATGGCAATGATGGTTGAAGTAGTGAAATTTACTGTGCGGTAACTGCCACTTTAATGCACTAGTGCGTCAAATCATAGGTACCACAATAATTTGTTTTAGTGAAAATTGAATTGTATTCACAACTCGAGTGGTAAGGTTTTAGGCGTACGCAAAGTGAAGATTGAAAAACTTTCCTGTGGCTCGATTTGTAAACTAAACTTTGCCTGCGCTAGAATTCCACTACCACACTTAGTGTGTAATATACTATCATCGAACGATAACAGAAAATATCAATATTAACATTATCAAATAATAATATGATAAAATGTGTATAGGCATTTACTGTCTTAAATAATGGACAGCCATTTTGGAAACTGCGCCTTTTTGAATAAACGCGTCATTTTAGACTAGTAGACTTTTCGCCATCGTTCTCTACTGGAAATTTTCATCAGGAAACCACTAACAGAAATTGTATTGCAATTAGTTTTTGGTTCCACATCAATTTTACTAGGCTAAAGCGGCATAGTAACATATCAGATCATCCGCGAAACATAGAAATTCAGAAAATTTTAAGCAGTCAGCAATATCATTATTAGTAAATATTAAATAAGGGGTTCAGAGGCATTAGAAAAATGTTTGTACACGAAATTATTTCATTTGACAACTTGATATCTATCTTAGAGGTAGCTCGCTACCCACTCCAACAAGTTCCCTGAAGACCAGTTGCCTCAAGTTTTTCAAGCAGGATCCCATGACACGAAAAACTTCCCATTCAGGTGATTACCTATATGTATTATAATGTTAGTAGTTTTTTTAAAATCTTAATTCCTTATTATTATGTATCACCTAACATCTGAGAGAATCTAGGTGGGAAGTTTTTCGTATTCCACAATGTATAGGTTTTACATAGCTCAATTTCCAGAACTTAGGAAAAACACCTGAGGAAAGTGATTTATTGCAAATAATGAAAAGCGGACGGGAGAGTACAGAACTACAATCCTTTAAAATCAACGGTGGAATGCCCTAAAACCCAAATATGAATAAATGATGGAATACCCAACGAGTTACACTTTTTATGGTAAGTACCAGTATACCGATTGGAAATATTCAGCAAAAAGATCAGGCAGATCCAGGGTCCAAGTTTAAAATTACCATTTTAAAAAAACATCAAGCGGATGGTAGCTCATTTCCACTTCTTTTACTTTTGAACAAAATTCCAAAATTCTTTAATATTTCGATTTTCAATTATTAAGATAGATCCGGATTTTTCTACATATCCTAGGTAACAAAGTCGCGTTAAGTTTATACATTCAGATCAAAGCCTGCTGTAGTTTGAATAATCTGTCCTTGATCCTGAATTTCTAAATAATTTGTGAGAAATCTTCTTTTGTATTATCAGCTGCTTCAACTCTACTGAAAACCAAGATGGAAATTCACGTTTAGATACCTGTTTTTGTGGCACCAGTTCATGATCAAAGAAAAACAAAATATCATAGAAGATAGGTATTTAGTTTACCATATCATTCACCGAGTGAGATGATAAAATCACATTCCACTTTATTTAACCCAGAGAGCCAGTGTTAAATCAGCCGATCTAAAATCGTAATAAAAATGTTCACTCGGTGGACCACTAGAGTTAGTATAATCTAATTAACATTAATAACATTAGATCTTATCCTGACCACTGGAGCGACTACCTTGGTAGTGTGATACTGAATCTGGAAAGTCAATGGTGGGTGATAGTCGTCTGCTGGAACCGCTTCATCACACTACCAAGGTATAGTCGCTTCAGTGGTCAGTATCAGATCTAATGTTTTACCAGCTTAATTAAAGATATTGTTTACCTGGTACAAATTGTGGAATGCACACGAGTCAGACAGCAGTGTGACAACCTCACCTACCTGGATGCGTTCTCCTTCAGCAACAGCTGGAACTGAGCAATATTCTCTGGTTGACCACATACAATATGGCATATTAAAGTCCCCGCAAATCCATATATGGGCACTTCATACGTTTGCATAATCAAATCCACTGTTGTACAGAACCTTAGATATTTGTTTGTCGGAGAACAAGGTGGTAAATAAGCAGTAGCCAATATGAACAAATCAGAGCCTGACCCAATCTGGAAAAGGACCTGTTCAACATCATTGCAAGAGTGCAGGCTATAAGAACACCTCCTCCTCTAATGGCATTGCTTGAGTTGTGGTTTCTGGTCACACCGGTAAATATTGTAGTCAACTTTGGTTCATATTTTTGCATTGAGAAGGCCCTACTTCGCGTTTTTTCCAAATACTATATTAGGAATACGATTTTGATACCTCATAGCTACATTCTCTCTATTGCCTTTACGAGTTCGGGACTCAGATTACTGGCACATGAAAAAAGAGTCAAGAATAAACGCCCATAGGCTATTCTAGACAAAACGATTTAAACCGGGTAATCTGATTGGCCACTCACACATTCTCCAGTCTATAAAGCTTGATTGCCAAAGTAAACCAACAGATCATGATCATCACAAATCTATGACATTCCATACTAAGCAGTGCATTTAATGTCAGTTGAGACCAAGTGGTTGACAAATGACGACGCTGGACGCTTAAAGAATATTTTTAACGGACTGCTCAAATAATTTAGGAAATGCAGACAGGATGCTGATAGGTCTGTATTTTGTTAGGTACATCATTCTTGCTGCCTGACTTGTTAATAGAACAAGCATAAGAGAGCTTCCACATTTCTGGAAAAATTCCAGATTTTAAGGATTTGTTAAAAATAATAAATAGCGGGAGATACAAAGTATTAGAACAAGAATTCAGTACTTTGTTAGGAATACCATCAGGTCCTGCAGACTTGTTATGATGTCCACTTCCTTTAAAGCCCTCTCAATATCGGTTGGGTCTATGATAATGCTTGGAACATTCTCGAATCGATCGGCAAAGGTTCCTGCGTGGAAATTTCTCTGGGGGTGATAGACAGAGGAAAAATAAATACCAAAAAGATTAACTATGTCAACACCCGTTGGACGCTATTTCTGTTGCCAAAAACATTTCCTTAGGAATAGTACCTTGATTGGACTGGGAATGAACAAAGCTCCAGAAAACTTTCACATTTGTGCCTGTTACCTTTCATTTGCAGGTAATAAACCAGAGAAATCAGAGATCCTCACTAGTGGACCACGTTATTTGACAAAGATAATAATCTCCCAAGAACAAGCACATTATCAAAGATTTCACAGACACTCGCAACTGATTTCAAATGGTTTTCATAATACGAAACATCCATGGTAGGTGCAATGTAAACACAGCCAATACAGAAGACCAAGTCACCCAACGTCACTGACACCCATGTTCCCTCCACCGATGCTTCACCAATTGACAGACGATGAAATTTAAAGCAATTATTTTACTGTCTTGAGGCCAGAGGTTTATGGATCTCACAGGCCCTTCAAAACTGATTATTTAACCCCAATTTTAAATGAAACCACATCGTCATTTTTGTCCAATACGGAGCATTTCATATCAGAAACGGAAAGCTGATCCTTAAAATAGTCAGAGATCTGTTTTTCGGTGGATCACATCGACCAGATATAGCCACTGACGTCTCTCACCTGCAGAAAAAATACCTCTGTCGGCACCTGTCGCTATTAATACAGGATTGTTACTTGAGCGCTCCGATACTCTTACTGAATTAGGCACTATGATTGGCATTCTATGCTGCGAACTGGTCGCTGGGACTTTTGCTAACCATTTAGTTGCAGACTATTAGTTGATTGAAAGCTTCTCGATTCATTCCTAATGGGCACTGACTGTAGAGTAGGTTTTAATTGAGATGGGGTTGGCGACCTGAGGAGTTTGATAGAGTTTTTATGGAGTTCAGGGTTGCAGTAAGTAACTGGACTTCATTTTCAAGCTTAGGTAGCCTGGTCTGTAAATCTTTGTTACTTTGTTTCAGTTTCTTTTTATTCGTATCATAAACAGCAGATGCTGCTGAATTGGGCATGACAACGCTAGCATTATTTATTTCCGAAAGATTGTCGCCTGTAGCAGATGGAAAAAGGAGCGAATGCTAGCTCACTGGAGATCGAATCCGGGTCTGAGACAGGCAAAAAACTTCGTATCCATATCAGCAAAGAGATCTAAACATAACTTATTGAGATGAACAATAGAAACATTATAACAGTCGTTGGTCTGCTTACTGGGCAGTGCTTGGTGATATATCACCTAAAAACAATAGGTAAATCAGGCACTGTAGATCTTGCGAACAAGGAACAGAAACTATACAGAACGTTTAATCTGTGATTGCCCTTAACTTTTTATGCAAAAGGCTGAAACACCTTATTGAAATTGAAGGGGTACGGCAACACCCCAAGAGGTGGGCACTTTACCACCCAGGAAGCTGGCTTCTTTTGGGAGAAGCCTACAAATTTTGAACAACTAGACGCAGGGTCATGCACATAATATCTGGAAAGGTAGCAGTGCTTGAGTGGCTGGAACAAAGCTATAACGACTCCAAATGCAATCTACAATCTACCTAAATTTTTTAGATTATAGTATGTAGAAATTAATTTTACTTATTTTGCATTTGATTTTTCTGTTGGTAGAATCGCCCATCATTGCAACAAATCCTAGAACTCACTTTGAGGTGACACACTTTTTGCTTTACTTTTGTTTGGATCAGCAAATTTTTCAATATTGCACAAACAAAAGTATGGCACATTTGCAACTAATTTATTACCTACTCACTGTAAAATTTTCTTTTGACGCATATGGTGTTCTTGCTTTAAAAAAAATGAAGTGGCACTTTGGTTTAATATTCCTTTTTGTTTTTCATTTAGGTAAGTCAATCTAAAATGAGCAAAAACCATTTATAGAAGTTTTTAATTTTTAGATGAAATTTTTGGGGCAAAATCCCAACTAGACTGTAGTGACCTTTGTCGTCAAAATTTTGGAAATGCTGAAGATCAGAAACTTTGCAACTGCCCTCAAAGAAGATTTATCAAGAGAGATGTATTGGATGATTTAAAGAGGAAAATTCACAAAGATCAGGCGAGAGCAAATTTAAACCTTTGGGCTGAAAGTCCGATTAAGAAAATGAACTTGAAGAATTTTCAATCTAAAGCAAGATCAGCAGGAAAATTGCCATTGAATAAACAGGCTGAAATGTAAGTATTAATCATTTTATTAACATTTTTGCTATTCCATCAAACATATTTTTTTTTAGGTATAAAGACCTACAAAACCGTGTCCAACAACTTAAAATGAGAATGTCAGCAGGAAAACATCATGTTCATCCGCATCCTCATTTTAAACCAAGAGCAAACTTTGACGATAAATTAGATGTAAAGGGACATTATAGAAAAGCAGTTGAAGATCTACAACAGAAATCCAAAAAAATTATGCAAAATCGTATTGATATAGGTTCATCGAAATTGGGTTCTGTTAACAAGAAAGATGGTTCTACAACTACGACCACTACATCTACAACTACTACTGAAAGATCGAAAGCCCGCAATGTTCCAGTAGTTGTTTTGATGCCATCATCATCTACAACAGATAAACCTCAACAAGAGATGGAAGCAAAGAAATACGGCGATACAGTTTTAGAAAGACTTAAAGAAAAACAAAAGGAAGCAGTCACGAAAATGAAAGATAAATTATCATTATCAAAAAATAAGGAAAACGAATCTGAGAAGAAACAGTAATTTTTTTAATCTAATACATATTTTGGTAAAATAATTATAATAAATTATATTTCAAGAAACGAAACTACTTGTTTAATTAAATTATTTCTCAATCATGCGAATTTTGCTGATGTTCACTTTTCATTGAGTTCAATTAAAAACTATTCTATTGTCTCGTAATAAGTAAACATGCACTCCGCTTAGCCCCTACCAAAGCAACTATTAACAAATACCAGATAAAACAGTCGTCAACAACAAAGCTTAAAATTTATTTACTTCACTTATGTAATACGACAATAACGCTTCGATATACAATTTGATTTGTTTGTACCTATCCTACCATACCACCAAGAATTGGACTTTTTACTTCAGAACTAATGTTAGGTAAACAGCAGCAAAACCTGAAAAACAACCTTTTTATTTTATTTTTTTATTTGAATAAATAATATTTTTAAAATATTCCTGTGTCTGGCTCTGGTCAAATATGAAGAAAGTTAATGTGTACTCGCAAGAACAACTGCTACAAATCCAATCAGAATTCTCCAGAATCAAAGGTAACAAACCCAAAATACCTATTGTTAAATTGATTTTGCATTGAAAATAAACATAAGCTTTAATAATCTGTGCAATTATGTTAAATTGCTTGACCTTGTAGGTACCTTGATAACATCATTGCACCCAAGCAACAATTTTATAATTATTATTCTAGATGTATGCTATCTGGATCATGCAGGTGCGACTCTTTATTCGGAAAAACAAATGGAAAATGTTGTTAAAGACTTAACTAGTAACATTTATGCCAATCCTCATGCTGTCAGTACTTCTAGTCAATCTACAATTGATGCTGTAGATATAGTACGTTATAGGTAACAGCTACTTTTAATGCAATATGCAATGCAAAATTATTGCCCAAATTTTTTATAGAATCCTCAGCTTCTTCAACACATCCCCTGAAGACTATTCAGTTATATTCACATCTGGAGCTACTCAAGGCTTAAAACTTATAGCTGAAACTTTTGACTTCAACGGAGGCACTCTGATTTACTTGGAAGACAATCACACTTCGGTTTTGGGCATGAGATGCTTTGCTCCCAATTGTAGAGAACTCAAAATTGAGGAGGCTTTTGAGCTTTTGACTGAAACACAGACAAAACAAGCATACAACCAAGATGGTAGAAATTGTCTTTTTGTCTATCCAGCACAGAGTAATTTTGCAGGAACAAAATACCCTTTTTCTTGGCTGCAAACAGCCAAAACCAAATTTGGACGTTGCTATACCCTCCTGGATGCAGCCAGTTACGTTTCCACCAACCCTTTGGATTTATGCCAACACCAACCAGATTTTGTTACTATATCTTTCTATAAAATCTTTGGGTATCCAACTGGATTGGGTGCTGTCCTAGTCAAGCGTTCCAGCGAAAATATTTTAAGAAAACAATATTTTGGTGGTGGCACTGTACTTATGGCTTTAAGTTCCAAAAATGTAATGGTACCTAGACAAAATATTCACGAGCGGTTTGAAGATGGTACCTTGCCCTTTTTAGCAATCATCAGCCTTGCACATGGTTTTGAAACTTTGCGCCGTCTTGAGCTCACTCCAAAACTAATATCTCAACACACCTTTAATTTAGCAAAATATACTTTTACAAATTTACTGTATATGCATCACTCAAACGGTACTCCTGTGGCAGTCCTCTACAATTTTTCAGGATTTGAAGATATCCAAAAGCAAGGCGGCATCGTGAATTTTAATCTAAGACGAGATACTGGAGAATTTGTTGGATACTCAGAGGTGATGCATATGGCCAATTTGCATGGGATTCATTTGAGAACGGGATGCTTTTGTAATCCTGGATCTTGCCAAAAGCATTTGAATTTGAGTTCAAAAGACGTTCAAAAACATTTTGAGGTGAGGAACCCTCGAGATGTGGTTAACTCCTTAAAATATGTACACAGATTTTAAATCTTCATTGATTTTATAGGATTTTGAAGATATTGAAAATCTTCACATAATTTTACAGGATTTTAATAGATTTTAGATGATTTTGGAGCATTATAGGAAAGTTATAAGGGTTTTTAGAGATCCTAAAGGATTTTTAGAGATTGTAACGAATTTTTAGGGATCCCAAAGGATTTTTGGAAATGTTAAAGGAATTTTTTTATAAGGAAATTTATAGGATTTTGCCGAATTTTTTTTGTTCTACTAAAATTTTGTTAGATTTTTAAAGATTTTCAGGGATTTTAACTAAATCTTGCGAGTTTTTCTGAAATTTTGACCAACTTGTACACAGATTTTCTGAGACTTCTCGGTTAACTCTATAAAATAATAAACACATATATTTCAAATCTTAATTGATTTTTTAGGATTTTGAGAATTTTGAAAATCTTTACACGATTTTACAGGAGTTCAGAAAATTTTAAATTTTCAAAATTTTAGGTGATTTTGGAGCATTTTAGGGGTTTTTGAAAAGTTTTTAGAGATTCTAAATTCAAATGACAAATTTGAATGGAAAAACGGAAATTCCTAGACATTTTACTATAAGATTTCATAATACTTTTCCGAATTTCATCATATGATTCTATGGAATTCCACCATAAAATTCAATGGAATTCTTGGACAAAAATTCTTCGAAATCACACTACTTATTATGAGATTTCATAAAATTCTTCGGCATTCCACTAAAATTTCAAATTATCCTATTCTGTGAAAATTTTTGTTATTTCCATAAAAATTCCTTCGAATTTTTTATGGAATTCTTCGAAATTCCATTCAAATGACAAATTTGAATAGAAAAACAGAAAGTCCTCGAAATTTTACCATAAGATTTCATAATACTTTCCTAAATTTCACCATAAGATTCCATGGAATTCGACCCTAAAATTAAATGGAATTGTTGCACAAAAATTCCTCGGAATTCCACTAAAATTTTATGTAATTCAACAAAAATTACTCAGAATTTCACTAAAATTTAATTCGATTCTTCGGAATTCCGCCGAAATTTCTCGTGGTTCCATGAAAATTCCACGGAAAATCTGTTTAATTCCAAGGGAATTCTTCAGATTCCATATAATTTCACTGAAATTCCACAATAGGATTTCGAGGAATTCCATGTATGTAATTCGACGAGAATTCTTTAAAATTTTACTCGAAATTTTATGTAAGTCGACACAAAGTGAAATTACATATAATTTGATGTAAATTCTGCAAATATTTCATAATTTTTTTTTTCGAAATCCCACTGAAATTCTTCAAAATTTTTTAGAAATTCAAAATTCAATAATTTTTTTAAAACTCTACTGTTCCCTAAAACTTCACCACTAATATCCTGGAATTTTTCGAAATTTCACTGAAATTTCACGTTATTAGTCAAAAATTTCTCGAAGTTCCAATTTTTTTTTAAAAAACTTCATTTGTTTCCATTGGAATTTTTCGAAATTTCACCGAAATTCTCTTTCAATAGTCAGGAATTTCTGGGAATATTATTGAAACTTTAAGTAATTTCTTGAAAATTCACCGAAATTCCTCCGAAATATATTGAAATTTCATATCATTACATGGGAATTTTTTCAAATTTCACCAAAATTTTAAGTTTTTAGCAGGAAATTCCTCAAAATTTCAATGGGAAATTTTCTCTAATTTTACTAAAATTGAGTTATTCGATGGAAATTTTTCGGAATTTCAATTTCACTAAATTGCCATGTTTTTTACTGTGAATTCCTTGGAATAAAAATAAAACTCCATGTAATTACATCAGGATTTTTCGGAATTTCACTGGAATTCCTTATGAAACGATAAGAGCTGTTTAAAATTCTACTTATTTCATGTAATTCCCTGATAATTCCTTGGAATTCCATGCAATTTCATCAGAACTCCATATAATTCGAAGAAAATTCCTCGGAATTTTTTGATATTTGGAATTTGGGTGTAATTCCATGTTTGTTTAGAATTCCTCCATGTAACTCATTCATGATTTCATGTAATTCGATCGAAATTCCACTGAAATTTCATGTAATTCGAAAGGAACCAAAATTTAATGTGAATTCTATGGAAACTGCAAAAATTTCACATGTCACATTTCACACCATGGAATTTTTTTTTCTTTGGAATTACAATATAACATGTCATGAAATTTTTCGGAATTCCACTAAAATTTCAAATTATTCTATGGGAATTCCTCGAAAATTTCAAAATTCAATAAAAATTCCCGAGGAAATTCCTTAGAATTTCACTAGAAGATTTTATGGAATTCCATTCAAGTGATAAATTTGAATGGAAAAACGTAAATTTCTAGAAATTTTACTATAGGATTTCCTCGAAGATTTGATAATACTTTTCCGAATTTCATTATGAAATTCCACTATAAAATTTAATGAAATTCTTGCACAAAAATTGCTCGGAGTTACTCTATGAGATGTCATGAAATTTTTCGGAATTCCATTAAAATTTCAAGTTATTCCATGGGAATTCCGTGAACATTTTAGTTAATTTCATAGAAATTTCTTAGAATTCCACCAGAAGATTTTATGGAATTCCTCGAAATTCCATTCAAATGGTGAATTTGAATGGAAAAAAACGTAAATTCTCAAAAATTGTACTATAAGATTTCAAAATATTTTCCCAAATTTCACCATAAGAGATTTCATGGAATTCCAAAATAAAATTCAATGGAATTCTTGAACAAAAATTCTTCGGAATTACACTATGAAATTTCATAAAATTTTTCGAAATTTCATTAAAATTTCAAGTTATTCCATAGAAATTCTGCGAAAATTTTAAGTAATTCCATAGAAATTCCTTAACATTTCACCAGAAGATTTTATGGAACTCTTAGACAAATTTTTTTTGGAATTACAGTATAAGATTTCATGAAATTCCTTGGAATTCCACTAAAAATTCAATTTCAAAATTCCATATTTTTTTTTTAACTTTACTGAAATTCCCCAAAATTTCACCAGTGAAATATCCTCGGAAATATCCTAGAATTTCACAAAATTTTCATAGAATCCTTCGGAATTTCATTTACATTTCATGTAATTTCTCAGAAAATCGTCGGAATTTACTAAAATTTTATGAGAATATTTTGAAATTTCACGTTCATAGCCAAAGATTTCTCAGAAATCCAATGAAAATTCAAGGAATTTTTGAAAAATTGTATTTATTTTCATAAGGATTTTTCGGAATTTCTCTGACATTCTCTTTTAATAGCCAGAAATTTCTGGGAATATTAATGAAAATTCAAGTAATTTCTTGAAAATTCACCAAAATATATATATATATATATTTCATGTCATTACATATGGGAATTTTTCGGAATATCACCAAAATCCCCTGTTTTTAGTTGGAAATTCCTGTTATTTTCTGGAATTTTACTAAAATTCAGTAAGAACTGAAATTTCATGTTGGGAATTTCGGTGTAATTTCTTTTAGGATTTCGTGTAATTCGATCGAAATTTCACTGATATTTCATGTAATTCGAGAGGAACTAAAATTTAATGTGAATTCTATGGAAACTCCGTAAAAATTTCACATGTAAGTCCTTTTTCAGAATAACATAATTCTACCAAAATTCCTCGAAATTCCACTAAACTATGGAATTCTGAAAGACTTTAACAGATTTTTGGGGATTCCAAAGGATTTTTGGGAATGTCTAAGGAAAAATATTTTTTACGAAGGTTAATGATTTGATGAGATTTTGCAGGATTTTTTTGGTTTTAATGAAATTTTGTAAGATTTTATAGGATTTTATGCAATTTCAAGTGATTTTGTAAAATATTTAAGGATTTCAAAGATTTTTAGGGATTTTGAGTAAGATCTTATGAGATTTTCTGAGACTTTGACCAACTTGTACACGGATTTTGACCAATTAACCACCCCTCGGGAACCCTGTAGTAAATTTTAAATTCAATATATATCTTTTTTGTAGGCTGGTCACGTATGTGGTGACCAAAACGATTTGGTTGATGGCGTTCCAACCGGATCAGTGAGAGTTTCATTTGGATACATGACAACTTATGAAGATGCAGATAGATTTCTTGATATGATTGAAAAATGCTTTGTAACGCATCCTGTGATAAGAAAAAGGAGGCAATTTGAAGCACATTTCTATAATGAGAGGAATTTTAATGAAGAAGCTAAAAATAAAATTGATAAAAAAGAATACACTTTACCTCCTGTGATTAAAAAAGAATCAGTAAGTAAACATTTGGCCTTAAAATTCATTTAAAAATCTCTTCAAAGGATTTATCAGGTGAACTGCAAAAAATCTACTTGTATCCAGTCAAATCGTGTGCAGCATTTGAAGTTAAAAGACCATGGAAATTGACAGAAATAGGATTGGAATATGACAGAAGATGGATGATAGTCAATGCATCAGGCACTTGCGTTTCTCAGAAACAAATTAAAAATTTGTGCACTCTACGACCCATTTTGGATTTTGCTTGTAATGCTCTGAGACTTAGAATAAATGGTAATAATCTTAAGACTACTAAAAACCTTGTTTGAAAATGAGAAATATAGATACAGAAATGGCTGTACCACTAGAACCATCCAACAATGGGCCAAATTCCGAAGGATTTTTCTGTAATAGTAAAGTGTGCGGGGACAAAATTACCGGTTACGATTGTGGAGATACTATTGCTGAATGGCTATCTGATCATTTGGAGAAACCTGGTCTAAGATTGCTCAGACAATGCGATTTTAATGAGAATATTGCTGTAAGAACTTCCAAACAAGGTAAAATTTGCTTTATTCCACTTATTTTTCAATAATTATTTTTTTTAGGCAAACAAACAGTTTTATCTCTTGCCAACAAAGCTGAATATCTTCTTATCAACACGGCAAGCATTCAATGGCTTAGAGATCGCATTCCGCGAAACGAAACATTATCTCACTCTCTGGACTCTATAATCCACCGATTTAGAGCTAATTTAATTGTAGATTTTAAGGAGCCTTTTGTGGAAAATAATTTGGAAGCTATTTCGGTTAATGAAGTAGCTTTTAAAGTAAATATTCACATAGTTTGCATATTCTAGTTGAAAATGTGGATTTTTAGTTCACAGGGCATTGTACAAGATGCCAAATGATCTGTATAGACCAAGAAACTGGAGAAATATCCAAAGAACCTTTACAAACTTTGTCTAGGGAGCTGCAAGGAAAAATGCGCTTTGGTGTATATTTAAGCCAAAATAACTCTGATAAGGACGCCTTTATTCAACCAAAATCTTTAGTGAATGGATATCTGAAAAATCAATAAGCTCAGTATTGAATCTTACCAACTGCAACAAAAACTGTAATATGCAGTGAAGGATTTAGAAACATATTTTAATAAAGTTATTTTATTTTACAAACAAACACAACAACACACAAAATAATTACAAAATTTGAGAATTTGTTTCAGTCCCAAAAAAAAACAATACTTTACTTTCTGCATAAAAATCAATGAAACATGTTGTATTACTTAATTATTTTAGATTTTGTTCAACATTAATTCAATTGAGATTACCTTCAACACACAGACGTTGCGACTAAAATCATCAGTCTTAGGTATATTGGAAAAAAAGGCGTAGAAAAATTAGAAAACTGAAAAATATGACTGATAAATGAGACCGACGGATGTAGTTGCAAAGTAGACAAAACAGCTCCACCATGTGGCAAATCCTAGAACTCCTTTGGAGACATTTGCCGCAAAGACCTAAACATTTATTATTAACTAATTATTTTTAAAAAAACTTCCAAAATAACTTACAGATTTTAAAGTTTCCAAAGTCAAAAACAGCTCTTCAACAGGTTCACTGGTGCTTTTTGAACTAACAGGCTTCAAATTGTCAACTTCGACAAAACTTTGTTTATTATACAGCAGCCAACTCCATTGAAATTCGCTGAGAGTTTTGTACATGAAAGTGAAAAACAGGCACATGATTAGGGGAGCAACATATTGCAGTGCCACTACGCAAAGATAGTAGAAAACGGCAGCCACTCTTTTTTGAAACTCGATATTTGTTATTCTTCCAGCTTCTTTTTTTTGTTCTTCAGTTCTGTGAAAAGCCATATCCAAATAGGCTTGAAGGTACCATGGCATTAAATATATTTTTAAGGCTACTGTTAAGAATATTGCTAAAAGTCTTGCTATTTCAAAACTTTCTTCTGTCATTCTATAAACAATTATTAAGTTATTAACTATGTCAATGATTGTAGAATCTACTTACAATGGCTCAGTTTTTCCTGAAAAAATTCTAACTGTTAAATAATCTTTGGTGGCAGGCTTTACCCATAATATGACTAAGACAAATGGCAATGCAAATGTTAAGTTCAATAGAATTTGTTTGAATTTGTTTTCTCTAAAATATCTAAAAATTGGCAAAATTATTTTTGTATTCGGACTCTTACTGTCTCTTACTTTAAGAGATCCCAATGCATTTTAGCAGCTCTCATTCCAGGAAAAGTAACAATAGCTCCTAATATGGCACACCAAACGGCCATGCAAAATTTAACAAATATTTTAGATGCTGGACCTCTAAAATGAAACAATTTACTTTTATGTCATAAAGAATTTGAAATTCTTACGATGAACTTAATCCTTGTCTGTTCAGAAAAGCAGAGGCGGTTTGATTGAAAGTGGTGTAGGCACTCTCCAATCCTAGCTCCAAAGTATTTTCATTGACAATTAGTACCACCATTGCCACTAATAAGTAGATGAAAGCCATTACAATGCACATGGATCTTTCACCTACTGATTCTTCACCTTTGAAATACTGAACTGTCAGGCTCAGTAACAGTTTGCTAAGGAAATGGTTAAGGAAGACGTTTCTTATTGGGATACATGTTATTACAATGAAAAGGATACATGGCAAATAGCAAAACAAGAAAGCACCAGATGATGCTTAAATTTATTTCGTCTTTTATTGGAAACCATATTTGATAAATCTGAAAAAAATTATTTGAGGTACCTAAACAACATTTAAAAGGAATTAGGAATCAGTTTCATGCAGGGGTTTAAGTTTCAAGAAATCTGTACAGGGTGGGCTTTAAGCAATTTGGGGTGATTTATCAATTTTTCTTAGTGCATTCAGAAAAAAAAATCATAGATTCTAGCTCCAAATCTCAGAATAATTTAGCGTATGGAGTTTGGGGGGTTCCAAAGGACCATTAAGACACAAAATCTCAACAAAAATATTTTTAAAATTTCATCGTTTTAATACTGAGCTAGCTAAGTAGTACCTTATGATTTAGATTTTGGAAAATTTTGAAAGGTCATAACTTTTCTTCTATTATGGATAAAAAGCTGAAATATTCAGCGATTCTTATTCCAGTAGAGGAATACAATCCCTGAAAATTTCAGATTATTTGGACTTATAGTTCCAGAAATAAAATCGTGTTAAGCAGTTTGGGGTGATTTATCAATTTTTAAATTTTTCTGAGTGCCTTCTTTCATAGATTCCGGATCCAAATCTCAGAATAATTTAGTGTATGGAGTTTGGAGGGTTCCAAAAGACCATTAAGACACTAAATCTCAACAAAAAAAAAAATTAATTTCATCGTTTTACTACTAAGGTAGCTTACCCTATGATTTAGATTTTGGAAAACTTTAAAAGGTCATACCTTTTTTTCTATTATAGACAGAAAGCTGAAATTTCCAGTGATTCTTATTCCAGTAGAGGACTACAATCCCTGGAAATTTCAGATTAAGTATTTGGACTTATAGTTCCAGAAATAAATCGTGTTAAGCAATTTTGGGTGATTTATCAATTTTTCAATTTTTCTGAGTGCCTTTATTCATAGATTCTGGCTCCAAATCTCAGAATAAATTCGTGTATGGGGTTTGGGGGGTCCCAAAAGACCCTTAAGACACAAAATCTCAACCTTGTTCTCAACAAAAAAAAAATTGAAATTTCATCGTTTTAGTCCTGAGGTATTTTTCTTTTATAGTTACCCTATGATTTAGATTTTGGAAAATTTTGAAAGGTCATAACTTTTGTTCTATTATAGATACTAGAAAGCTGAAATTTTCAGCGATTCTTATTCCAGTAGAGGACTACAATCCCTGAAAATTTCAGATTATTTGGACTTATTATAAGTCCAAATAATCTGAAATTATAACGATTTTATTTTTGGAACTATGTCGTAAGGACCAATGTGTTAGAAAAGGATTTTATATGTGTAAGGAAAGTGAGAAAGGTCTCTTTCTAACACATTGTTTCTTATGACTGAAACAGATACCTATAATTTTTTTTCTGGAAAACTGTTAGAGATAAACCTATCGAACTTTATATCATTGAAATCAGCAAAAACAGAGCTATCCAATGAGCTATTAATATAAAGGATGTTTCATTTGAAAATATCGGAATTTGGCCGATATCTCGAAATCGGAGCGATATAGAAAAAAACCGAGTCCGCCACTGGATTGTGCTCAAAAAAGTGTCTCCATAATGTTTTCACAGAAATGAAAAAAATTGATGAATAAAAAACTTATAGCCATTTTTAATAATAGGGGAAAATCGAAAATCGCTCTGTATTAATGGTACCATTGAAGATATCGCGATACGGTTTTTGACAATCGACGTTTCTCGAAAATCGATCCCATGACATCTAAGTCAATTTTCCTCTATCTGGTCGGGAAGTGTGTTTTTACAGTTAAAACACTCCAAATTGCAGCACCCTGTACAGGGTGGTTGATTTTCGATACTTATATAGGGTACAGCCAAAATGGCCGAAGTTACTGAGAAACTGATATACGCGACCCGTCCTCTTTTCTAGTGTGTCATTTGATGGTGTAGTCAGATCTTGGCCAACAAGTTTGGTTTGCGAGGTACAGGGTGTTTTTCAAAATCAGCTGTTTTTTATAATCCTCCATAACTTCTTACCCTAGGGAGATATAGAAAAAGTGCAAATAGGAAAAATACGTCTTTTTTTACGTAGAATCCAGTGGCGTACTTGGAAAAAATATGGAGGCTTTATCTTCTGAGATATTCGAAAAAACAAAGATTTTTCAAATGGAACACCCTGTATCTTATTGGTTCAGTAGTTTGGGAAAAAAATTGCGAGTTCAACGATATATAACACATGATATATTGTTTTGGCCTAAATGGCGAAAGTAATAAAAAACACTTTTTCTACTATCGTGTGTAAAGTACTCACTTTACGCACTATTCAGAAGACGTAAAATTTCGCTTCACGCACTAGTGCGTAAAGTATTTCACTTCACACACTAGTGCGTAAAGTAATATCAATGACAGTCGTCGACACTGTCAATTTGACATTTTTCTGGTAAATTACTTCAGGCACTAGTACGTAAAGTGAAAATTCTTCACGCACTAGTACATAAAGTATTTGTCCAAATTTATTTTTTTACACATATTTGATTGGTAGTACAAAAAAATTTGTATGCAATACGTGCGTAAAGCACCTTTTTTTCACTTATGTGATTTTCCCACTCGCCTTCGGCTCGTGCGGTAAAATTCAAATTCGTGAAAAAAGGTTCACTTTACACACTTGTTGCATAAATAACTATTTTTCCACTATACCAATACAAAAATAAATTTAGAAAAATACTTTACGCACTAGTGCGTGAAGTAATTTAGAAGAAAAAATACTAAATTGACTTGACAGTGCCGACATCTGTTATTGACATTACTTTTACTGGTGTAATCTAAATACTTTACGCACTAGTGCGTGAAGTGAAATATTACATATTTTGAATAGTGCGTAAAGTGAGTAATTTACGAACGGTAGGTAGAAAAAATTTGTATGCGATATGTGTGTAAAGCACCCACTCATATGATTGTCGTCAAAATTCCAATTCGTGAAAAAAGGGTTCACTTTACACACTTATTGCATAAATATCTATTTTTAAATTGCTTATGCAATTAGTTGTTAAATCTTTGTTTTTAAAGTGAAATATTTTTACTTTTTTTTTAATGTTATCCCTTTTCTAAAATATTAAATATTTAGTTAAAAAGTTTATAAACAAAATATTATGTAAGACTGTAAAGCCCGTATTACATCTGTGTATTTTTCCGTGTATTTATTCATGTAATTCAGGATGCCAACATTATTTTGTTTTTCATAATGCTGATTTATGTTGCGATTGAAGTTTTTTGGTTGTCACCCTGAACTACATGAATAAATACACGGAAAAATACACAGATGTAATAGGGGCATAAGAATAATAATTGTCACAATCATTTTTAATTGATATAATAATTTTTTAATGTTTTTTTTTAAGCATAGAATTGACTAATTATGTTGGGCTGAGTGCGACACCCGACTACAGTTAAATACATAGCAACAATATTTCCTTTTTCAACAATATAGTAATAAAGTATGTTTTAATTATTCCTTAAACTGACATTTCTCCATGTAAAAATGTCATTTTAGGGAATACTTTTCGTTAAGGCTCCCCTAAAATAGTTGGTGGAAACGGCCATTTCTGTGATTGACAAGAAATATCAACATTTTTGAACGGTCGACAGGCCACAAAACTCAATTTTCTGGTATTTTATTTATGACTTAATAGTTGCTATGGAATCAATGGATTTATAGTACGGGAATCATTTTTCCGGCTCAGGCCGGGAAAGCGATTCCCATACTACTGATTTTTACAAACATCACAAGATACACTTTCGAGTTATTTTTTTAGGTGCTATATTTGATATTAAATATTAAACATAAATTTGAATAATAATATTCAATACCAAATACAATTTTTCCTTATTCCAAAAACATTCCTCATTTTTTTCATTACTGAGCGATCGCAGAAACAAAAATTGAAAGCATTGACAATTTTACATTGTATTGCCAACATAATGTCATTTTGACATTTATCTTTAATAAAAAAATTCTCGACTTTATTGTTATATTGTTGAAAAAGGAAATATTGTTGTTAGTGGATACAGGGCATCGCACTCAACCCAACATAATTAGTTAATTCTATGCTTAAAAAAAATATATAAAATTATCATTTCAATTAAAAGTGACAATTATTATTCTTAGACTCTTACATATTCAGCCGTATGAATAAAAATAGAGTATTTGCTTCTAAGCAAAAGGTAGAAGTATAAGCAAAAGCTTCAAGTAAAAGGTAGAAGTGGAAGCATTTACTTCATATCATATGAATAATGAAGACCTTTTACTTGCAAGCATATGCTTCAAAGAAATGAATTGAAAGATATTACCTGTTGTACCTGTTGCTTGAATCTAAGACTTGAATGCCAAATTAAACCACCAGAACGATAATATCAATGGATCCATAGGAAGTGGTAGTAAAAAAACGCCAATCATGGAAGAACGCAAAGCCACCGCAAACGGACAACGCACCATTATGGAACCGTTGATTGGTAGTACACAGTCACACAGATGGTTCGAAGGTAACGGAAGGAGTCGGTCTTGGAATAACTGGACCAAACTTTAAAGTTTAAACTCTCATTAGCAATGGGCAAAACGTCCACAAAATTTCAAACTGAGTTTCTGGCCATAAGCATCTATGCCCAAGATTGTCTTAAAAGAGTCCTTTTAAGAGAGCACATTTACTTACTTACTGTCCGAAAGTCAAGCGGGTCTAAAGGTTCTAGAACCCAATCAAGAGCAATTTTCAGCTAGTTTGGGAAGGTAAAAATATCCTTAAACACTTAACTTAGGAATAAAGTGAAAAGGGGAACGAGGAGGCGGGCTGTCTCACAAAGCAAGGCGCTTTAACACCTTCTCAAGGCCCAGTGGCTTTCTGTGTACTAATGAAAAGCCACGTCGTCAAAGAAATCAACAGATGAAGAAGGTTCATATATCTGAGATCTGAACAGATTCTTGACAATAAACAGAAGAGACATTAGAGGAGTCGTTGGTCGACTGCTCACTGGGCAGTTAATGGTGAAATCACCTAAAAACAATAGGCAAATCAGTTTACGATTACTGTAGATCTTGCGAACAAGCATTAAAAACTACAGAACACTTGATCTGTGAATGCCCTGGTCACTTCTGCAAAAGGCTGAAATACCTTGATCACACCCCAAGAGATGGGTACTTTACCACCCAGAAAGCTGGCCTCCTTTGGAAGGAGCCTACAAATCTTGAACACTAGAGCAGCTGGAACAAGCTATAACGACTGCTAATGCAATCTACAATCTACAAAAAAAAACGGGAAATAAGAATATTTGGAAATAATTTACCAAAATAGTAAACATACATCTGCTCTGGAGCAGATGCATTTTGCAAGGAGTAAATGCTCCCAATTTGAAGCAAATACTGTCTTTTATTCATAAGAAAAAGAGTATTTGCTTTTTCCTGGAGCATTTGCTTCCGACTTTTAAGTATAAGGTTTTGCTTGAACTTTAATTCATACTGGATGAAGCATTTGCTTCAGATTTTGCGAGAAAAAGCAAATGATCTTTTTTATTCATAGGGCAGAATATTTTGTTTACAAACTTTTCAACTATTCAATATTTTAGAAAAGGTATGACATAAAAAAAAAGTTAAAATATCTCTCATTAAAAACAAAGAATAAACGATTTATTGCATAAGCAATTTAAAAATAGCTATTTAAGCAACAATTGTGTAAAGTGAACCTCTTTTCACGAATGTGAATTGTGACGACAATCACATGAGTGGGTGCTTTACAAAAATATTACATACAAATTTTTTTCAACTACTGTGCGTAAATTACCAATTTACGCACTATTCAAAATATGTAAAATTTCACTTCACGCACTAGTGCGTAAAGTAATTCACATAACACCAGTAAAAGTAATGTCAATGACAGATATCGACACTGTCAAGTCAATCTAGTATTTTTTCTTGTAAATTACTTCACGCACTAGTGCGTAAAGTATTGTATCCAAATTTATTTTTGTATTGGTATAGTGAAAAAAGTGTTTTTTGTTACTTTCGCCATTTAGGCCAAAACAAAATATCATGTGTTATAAAATCATTATACAAGGCGTCATTCAGTTGTCTTTAAATTTAAAAATTTGAAAATCGGGTGGAACGGGTAAGTCATTGAGACGCACACTTTTCATAAAAAAACAATTGAATATCACTTCCGGTTACTTTGGAAATGGACCCTAGTCAAATTTTTTTTATGAAACCCTGTATATTTTTTTACACAGTTGGATAGAGCTTAAAATTCTCTTTTCAATGACATATGATAAGTGGAATTTGCTCCCAAGATGGCGGCGTCAGAAGGCACTTTCTTAAATTCAATATGGCGGCATTCTGACCTAACCTTTGAATACCTAACCGAAAAATGAATATGCATTTTGGTAGACATTTTTCGGTAGTCCATTGGACACACTTTAATTCTAGAATTTAATAAGTACCTCTTCCTATTCAAAATTTTTAGAAAATTTGAAACTAAAATTTGCATTTCAAAGAAATTTTGAAATGCCCTTGTTTTTGAGCAAAATCATTTTTTTTTCAAATTTGATCTAAAACCATTTCAAATCTAAAAATTATGGATTGTTAAAAGTGTTTGTTTGACAGAAACATTATCAGTTACGTCAGAATGCCGCCATATTGAATTTAAGAAAAATACCTTTTTACGTCGCCATCTTGGAAACAAATGCAAGTTGTGATATGTCATTGGAAAGGGAATTTTAAGCTCTATTCAACTGTGCAAAAAAATATACAGGGTTCCATAAAAATTTCTTGACTTGGGTTCATTTCCGGAGTAACCGGAAGTGATATTCAATTGTTTTTTTACGAAAAATATGCGTCTAAATGACTTACCCGTTCCACGCAATTTTCAAATTTTTAACTTTAAAGACAACTGAATGACGCCTTGTATAACGATTTCGTTGTCACCCGGTATATCGTTGAACTCGCAATTTTTTTCCCAAACAACTAAACCAATAAGATACAGGGTGTTCCATTTGAAAAATCTTTGTTTTTTGAAATATCTCAGAAGATAAAGCCCCCATTTTTTTTTCTAAGTACGCCACAGGATTCTACGTAAAAAAAGACGTATTTTTCCCATTTGCACTTTTTCTATATCTCCCTAGGGTTAGGAATTATAGAGGATTATGAAAAACAGCTGATTTTGAAAAACACCCTGTACCTCGCAAACCAAACTTGTTGGCCAAGATCTGACTACACCATCAAATGACACACTGAAAAAGAGGACGGGACGCATATATCAGTTTCTCAGTAGCTTCCGCCATTTTAGCTATACCCTATAAAACTATCGAAAATCAACCACCCTGTACAGGGTGGCCCAAATTCGAGCCTCATCATTGGGATCTCGGTAACCGTAAGAGATACGGGGTCGGTTAAATTATGGCAAAGTAGCGCAATTTTATAACCAATAGAATGCCATTTGAAACTAGAAAGATTCCGAATACTTCCGTAGATATTCGGAAAAAAACCGAAATTTTGTAAAATCGTTTTTATTTTTTTCCGGGCTTATTTGAAAAGCAATTTTAAAATAAATATCACTTCATCATTGTCACTTTCTTCCCTTTAGAAGATGGTGCTACTAAATTTAAAATTCGACATTTCGTCTTCAGGCGGCCATCCTCCACTTCCTTTTTTTAAATACGGACCTGGATTTTTTATTTGCGATTTCGTCATCTTTGGGCATCCTAAAACCGATACTGTTTATAATTTTTCAATAACACGGTAAAAAAAGCAGGTCCGTATTTAAAAAATAAATAAATTGATGATGATTCCAGAGGAACAAAACGTTGGATTTCAAATTTAATACTGCTATCTTGTAGAGAAGAAAAAGTGACATTCGGAATGTGAAATTACGGAGATCCCAATGATGAGGCTCAAATTTGGGCCACCCTGTACATACATTTAGGTAAGCAATGTATAAAACATAAATAATGTTTTCAGTAAATATGCTGATTGATGTGTAGATAAGGTAATGCAAATATCATCAATAAAGAGCAAAATGAGGCAAAACAGTTTTTTACTGCTTGTGAAATTATTATTTCTCTACTTCTACTATAAACCCTTCTGAAAGAGGCAGGAATTTTGGATTTTTTTCAATCTATTCACCTGGAATCTCTTGCATTCAAGCATGCAAGAGATTTAAGGTTCAATTTAGATTTACGATTTACCTCTGTAATAACATACACTATTGTAGCATACACAGAAAAGTCCACCAACCATTGATATTCACTGTAATACCTCAAATGTATCACATCTAAATAAGTTATTTTAGCTGTCTCCAGTTGAACATCCAACGACCGGTCTACGTGAAACGTATCCGATGTGCCGTTTTGATAGCCTTTACTAAACTTTTTCTTATTTTTTGGTTTGTCTTTCGGTATGTTTGCCAGCTGTCGGAGTTCACTGTCCGTTGGGTACAGATAACGTATAAGGCCCGTCGAACAAATCAACCATCTTGCAAACGAAAAATGCGGGCCTAGTTTCTGAATTACGCTGATCATAATTAGGGTGATTACTAGTTGGGCTCCTAAAAGTGCCTGGAATGGGAAGATGGTTTAAGAAGTTATGTTGGATTAATGGGGTCAATTTTAAAGGGTTTTCACTTGCTTACCATTTTTAAAAATACTTATTTTTGGAGCTGAATTTTATTTTTAGATAGAGCCTAGTGTGCTATTACATAACCTCAAAAAGTCAGGGTTTTTTTAAATTAAATTATGCCGCTTGTGTAATTGATTAATTAGAAATTGGACACTTCCTATGGGCACTTCATTTTATTATACAATTATTACTTCCACTTATAATTCATCATAATTTATAATTTTAAATTTTGTTAAATAAATAAATAAACAATTATAAATGTCAGTGAAATGTCAACGACCGGTGTTGCGGTGTTGCCAACTTTCGCATTCGCATGCAGAAATAGAAAAAAGTTGGCAATTTACTGCAATTTAGAATTTGGAAAAGATTTGTTTCTTGAATAGAAATGGGTTGCTTTAAAATATTGAGTTTTATAGAAGAAAACTTATAATTTAGTAGAAAATGTACAATTTCTGTGGCATCAACGGTCGGCCAAAGGTCAAATTTCGAACTTTTAAAAAATGTAGAGAAGGGCTTATCGATACGATATATCGATATATCCATCGATACGTAGGTACATTCGATACAAATACCAAGACATATCGATATGTATCGATAACGGAATAGACAAAAATTGATCTGGATAAATTGAGAAATTGAAAAAAGAAATTTAAGAGGATTGGTAGACAAAAGAAAGATAAAGTATTTTGTTTATATTTCAAGCTCTTGAATTTTCTCTATTTAGAGAAATTTATTAGAAGAAAACGAAAATTCAAGAGCCGGGAATAGACAAAAATTGAGATTGAAAAATAGAGAAAAGGCATTTAAGAAAAATTGAGAGAAATACGGTATAGAAGAAGACATTCATGCTTTTCTATTCCACGATCTTCAATACCCATTTCTTATTTCGACATACTCAATTCAAGGGCTGGGCATAAAACAAAAATTGAAAAATTGAGAAATAGAGAGAAGAGGAAGACAAAATTGGTAGATGAGTGGTCTTTCAAATTTTCAAGAGCCAGGAATACATAAAAAATTGAACTGGAAAAATTGAGAAATAGAGAAGAGAAATTTAAGAATTGAGAGAAAAAATTGGTAGACACAAAGTACCACGAAAATTCAAGAGCCGGGAATAGATAAACACGAGACGGAAAAATTGAGAAATAGAGGAAAAATGTGACAAGAAGAAAAAATTAGGAAAAACTGATTTTTCACCCCTTCGATATCGTTTGGTAGTAAATTGTAGCGTTCAGGTCCTAAATATTTAACAGATTTCTTAGAAAACTTACTATAGGTGGGTTTATCCAACAAATAAAATAAAATAAGAAGAAAGTTATTAAAAGATAACTGACTCTTTTTTTTCTGGTAGAACTATCCATTAAAAATAAAACCTCTCTCTTAATTCTTATTTTAATTTAGATCTTATGATATTTTATTTGTTGGATAAACCCCCGCCATATGACACTTTGGAATAGCATAGCGCATAGCTATAATTAATTGCTTGTTAACATTTATTCTGATTAAATATTCGTGATCACAGTGTGTTTGATTTCCTTTAAAAGTATTCTTCAATATGCTGTTTTGTATAACCTGAAGAGGTTCTCAATGAGTGATTATAACTACGTATTACCCCAAATCAGTAAAAATTGAGATGGAAAAATTGAGAAACAGAAAAAAAATGTAAGAAAAAATTGGTAGATGAGTCGATTGTGGATTTTCATCTTTTTTCAATTATTTCCAAGGCACTTGAATTTTTTCCTGTTCCAACAAATTCAGGAGCCAGGAATAATACTTTATTTCTATTCCAAGCTCTTGAATTTTCTGGATTTAGAGAAATTTATTTGAAGAAAAATTGAGAAACAGAGAGAAGAAATTTAAGGAAAAATTGGTAGATGAGTGGACTTCCATATTTTTTTAAATTCTATCTTAATTTTTTGTTTGTTTGAGAAATTCAAGATTCGGGAATAAACAAAAATTAAGCGGAAAAAATTGAGAAACAAAGAAAAGAAATTGAAGGGAATTGAGAAAAAAACTGGTACCTAGACACAAATAACTCTGATTCCATTCCAAGCTCTTGAATTTCCTTTCTCTATTTGAAAAAAATTATAAGAAAACGAATACTCAAGCATTTCAAGCGCCGGGAATAGATCAAAATTGAGACGGAAAAATTAAGAAACAGAGGAGAAATGTGAAGAAAATTGTAGAAAAAAGGACATTCATGTATTTTCTATTCCAGAGGGGCCCAATTTCTCCAGTTACGACTAAAAATTTCGCAATCGACAAATGGACGTTTCTCAAATGTATTGTAGTTGATTCTATATGTAGGTTTTTTTTTTTAGAAAATGAATGAAAAACAGTATTGCTCTAGCTCAGATTCCAAAAAAATGAATGGGTGCGGTTAGTTACTGAAAAAGCAGTTTTTTTTTGCTTTGCAGGCTTTTCATGAACTTTGACATTCGATATCTCAAGACGCATAATAAGGGATAGGCATATGAGATTTTTTTGTATTTTATTAGATCATCAAAACCAAACTTTGTCAAAACGAAGGTATTTGCAAAAATTCAGCTTCTTCGGCCTCATTCCGCAGATGGCCTTTTTTTGTTTTATTTCCCTAGGGTATAGCAAATCTATTATTTTCTACTTGAATCGCAAGATTTTCAATAGCTGCTAAAAACTCGATTTCTTCGTAATCAGCCATTTTTTTTGTATGACAAAAATAGATAAAATTGTTACTTCGTGATTTCATCTCGCGTTGTCTTACCCACTCGTAATTATTCGAGAATTGGATTATGCCAAAAAGATAAGTATATCGAGATAGGTATGCGATTCTCGTACGTGACATTGGGAAATCGTAATGCGAGAATTGGGCCCACAGACTCGTTTTTATTCTTCATTTCGTCAAATTCAAGAGTCCAGGAATAGACAAAAATTGAACTGGAAGAATTATAAATAGAAAAAAGAAATTCAAGAATTGAGAAAAAATAGGTAGACTTTGTTTGTATTGTAATAGGCTCATGGCTCTTGAATTTTCTCTATTTACTCACAGACAGCACATACAGCACAGAGACATCTTGAAGACGTCCCTAAGATATCCACAAATAACATTTAAAACGTCTTTTGGACGTCTGCTTATGTCTTCAAGGCGTCTTGGAGACGTCGTATCTTACAAAACCCAACGTCTTTGAGACATCTACCTAAACACGTCTTCAGGACTAATATTTCATTATTATTACCTACTCATTTTATACCTTTCAATTTTTTTCTATTCCCGGCGCTAGGCTTTCTGAAATAATTCCGAGAATTTCAAATTGTTCTAAGCCTTTCAAAATGCCGCTGGAAAGTATAACGATCTAAATGGCTTATTGAAGTTCTACAGTGTTCTAACTTGGCTTAAAGAGTTCTGGAGAATTTTAGAAGTTTTTCAGTAATTTCTAAATTGTTTTGACAGTTTTTTAAGTATCCTGAGCCCTATTGAAACTCCAAATAAGTATTGTAAATTAGTTCAAAAAAGTTCTAAATGGTTTCAGTTATTAATATTGAATCCTAATTCTTCTGAAATAATTCTGAAGTTACTAAATTGTTCCAAAATGCTCCTGAAAATTCTGATTTGGATTTGAACTGTTTTGGATACTTATTTTAAAGGTTTGGAAGTTTTACAGCAATTTAAATTCGCTATTGAATGCCTTCTGAAAGGCGTTTTGTAGGTAACTTTTAACTTGAATACTAAGATTTTGCTTTTCAAAATTATCTGGAGATTTTGCAGTGGCGCACCCAGGTTTTTTATTTGGGGGGGGGGTTTTCATAATGCGATGAACCACTGTTTTTATAATTATGTGTATTTAAAAGAAAGAGAGTTTCCCACATGGTTGCAAACATTCTAAATTCCGTCTCCACCAATCAAATAAATTTGTTCACAAACATTGCTGATCATTCTCAAATTTGCAGTAGTTTTGCGCGCTTGGTGTAAATGCATCTTTACATGACCGCGAATTGCGATGTACACTTGGCCAATCATAAAACTGGTACGCATTTTTCTATTGTGTTATATTGTGTGAATCGACTTTTTTTATCATTTCAGCAATGACAAAAACAGTCAAGTCAGTGTCATATTTAAACCAATCATAACACAAAAACATGTTGCATTTACTTTTGTTCAGCTTTGACGTTGACAAAAACTGTCTGACCTAAGTTTTTCAGAAGAGACTTTTTGTTGTTAAGTCTGACTCACACTAGGCAAATTTAAAAAATATATATTGCCTGTAGGTACCAGTTTTATGTTTGGCCAAGTGTACGATGCTGGGCGTTACCAGATTTCCACGCAGTGTTGCCAACAAGTTGCCAACCCTTTAGAATAAAATTTCCCACTCGAATGTGTGAAAATTCCCAAATTTTCCCACCATGCACAATGAAAAATCCCCAGAAATTTCCCAGGATTCTGTTAGCATTTATGGTTATCAATGATAGTTATCAAGCAAGGTTGTTTGAAAGAGTTAGGTTACCTGATAATTTTTTCCTCCTGATGACGTCATCTGCTAAGCATTACAACCTATTAACTTTAGGAACCTTGAGCTGTTTTCTCGCGTTCACTTTTTTGAAACTGGTTCAAAACAGGTTTGAAGCAGTATATACTCGCGATGAACCCATACAAATACCTACAATCGAATCCAAGTTTTCAAGCCGAAAAATTATGACGTCATGTGACACTGTTTTAAACCGGTTTTGAAAAACGTTTTAAAACATTTGAGACGCGAGAAAACACCTTTAGTTCTATCCAACACGTCAAAAACCGGTCCTGAACGGTTTGGAAACCCACTCTGTATACGAATTTTGGATTCTACGCAAAAATGTTGGGCTTTGCGCAGAATCGTGACGGTACTTAGTACGGTTTCCTGCTGTGTTGGAACAAAGCTCATATTAGCTCATTTCCAGTCGATCAATCTATTTGCCAATTAGGATAAACGTTCAACCTATTGTGAAATAGGTGGGCAACTGGAAATAACCGTTCCAGAACGGTTCTCATGGCGGTTGGAACAGAGCTATTGACTGCGACAGCTTGTCAGCCTGGATGTGTAGCCATGTCGTAGCAGAACGCTAAACGTTATTAGTTTTCCCATTTTCAAATATTTTCGTCCGGAAATTCCCACGAGAAAGAAAATTTTCCACGAGTTCAGAGAGTTGGCATCAGACTGTTTCCATGGTTCTTGGTTTCGATTCCAGATTTCAGTAATTTCGCGTTACGTAAAGAGGATATTTTTTTTATGTAAAATAGAAAGTTTGTAGGTACCTATTAACCAAAATGGCAAAAAAATATCTTTACCAAAAAATTCTGTATACTAGTGCTAAATTTCGGGGGGGGGGGGTTAACCCCCAAAACCCCCCCCCCCCTTGGGTGCGCCACTGTTTTAGAGTTTTTTGAGTGTTCTGCAGCGTCCTAAAAATGGGTTTCAAACTTTTGAATTGTTCTAAAATACTTTGGAAAATTGTACATAGGTTTTTGAATGTTTTGGAGCATTCTAAAGTGGTTCTGTAGTTTCAAAATTGTTCTGAAGCGTTACAGAATGCTTTTGGAAATTTTGAATTGAATTTTGAAGTATTTTGAACTTTCCAAAAAGGCTGGTTAATTAAAGTTCTAAAGTATTCTCAATGGTTTTCAGTAACTTTTAAATCGGATAAAACGAACCCTGTGAGAAATTGTAGATATCTTAACAACGTTCCTTATAGAATGTCTACATACGACATTTAAGACGTTTTTTAGACGTCTGCTTATACGTCTTCAAGAAGGCATCTTAAAGACGTCGTATATGTTACAAAGCCTAACGTCTTTCAAACGTCTGCCCTTCATGACATTTTTCCAAGACATTCTAAAGACGTCTTCAACGAGATGTCTTTGAATCATTATTCACTTTTAGGCCCGGTTGTCTCAAATAGTGTGGCTCAGTTATCTTTGAGATGTGAATTTACGACATCTTATAGACGTTTCAGACGTCTTTTTTTTTTGTCTCTAGACGTTCAGACGCAATTAATGCAGGCCCAAAAAAAGACGTATTCAAGAATAGGTGAAATAGGGTGAAAATGGAGACGGAAAAATTGAGAAATAAAGGAGGACTGTAGGAAAAATTGAGAAACATTGAGAAGAAATTAATATAAGAAAAGGTTGGTAGGTGAGTGGAATTTCATATTTTTCTATCTCAAGGTTCTTCATTTTTTTTTTTTTTTTTTTTCATCTCAACAAATCAGTGGCGGATCCACAGAGGGGGGGGGGGGGGGTAAAAGTAGAAATTACCACAGACAGGCCTTAGAAAATTTTAGTTATTGAAAAAACACACAAATTATTTTTTGGAAGCTTAAAATGTGTTTTGAGCGTGGCACCCGAAAATATTTTCGACCACTAAATGGTACGATACGTCGAGTAGGTATATCACTACGCAGTAGTTAAAAATCACTTGTACACTACCCCATTCCCATTGCCCATTGGAGTCCTATTATCAGTGGCATCATCTACTGGAAATGAGATCATGAAACAAACAAGCTTTACGAACAATCGCTAAGCAAGCCCCATGAAATACAGGACTTTGTTGAAATAAGAAAATTTCTTCAAGCAAGATTCCATACATTAGAAGCGATAAAAATTATACAGAGTGAGAGAGATGAAATCGATTATTGTCTATTCCCGGCTCTTGAATTCAACTCAGTCATAAACACATTGATTGACAAACGACGTTTTCATTGTTTATCCTGTCAACTCCTGTTACAGAGAAATTAGTGTCAAGTGTGAGAGAGATAGAGCCATTACTAGGTAAAGAAATTATACAGAGTGAGAGAGATGGAATTGATTTTTGTCTGTTCCTGATTCTTGAATTCAACTCAGTCATAAACAAATTGATTAACAAACGACGTTCAATTTAATGTTTATCTGTCAACTCCTGTTACAGAGAAATTAGTGTCAAGTGTGAGAGAGATCGATCCATTACTAGGTAAAAAAACTATACAGAGGAATATTGATGAAATCGATCTTTGCTCATTCCCGGCTCTTGAATTCAACTCAGTCATGAACAAATTGATTGACAAACGATACGTTTTCATTGTTTACCTATCAACTCCTGTTACAGAGAAATTAGTGTTAAGTGTGAGAGAGATAGAGCCATTACTAGGTAAAGAAATTATACAGAGTGAGAGAAATGGAATCGATTTTTGTCTGTTCCTGATTCTTGAATTCAGTCATAAACAAATTGAAAAAACAAACAAAACAATGTTATCTGGTTAACTCCTATTACAGAGAAATTAGTGTCAAGTGTGAGAGAGATAGAACCATTATTAGGTAAAAAACTATACAGAGGGAGTGAGATGAAATCGATTTTTGTCTATTTCAGGCTCTTGAATTCTCTCAAATTGAAAATTGAGAAGAAACTGGTTGATAAGTAGAAATACAAGGATAGTTTCTATTCCAGACTTTTGAATTCTCTTAATTTAGGGAAATTAGGAGAAATTTAAGAGCCGGGAAAAGACAAAAATTGAAAAGGAATATCTAAATGAGCGAGAAAATTAATGAGAATTGGAAATTGAGAAAAATTTGAGGAGAAACTATGGTTGATAAGCAGTAATACAAGAATTTTCTCTTTTCCATTATAACTTAAAGTTCCTCTCTATTCAGGAAAATTTTAGGTAATTCAAGAGCTGGAAATAGACAAAAATAGAGAGAGAATAAATGAGCGAGAAACTTTGAGAATTGAAAATTGAGAAAAATTTGAGAAGAAACTGGTTGATAAGCAGAAATACACGGATTGTTTCTATTCCAGGCTCTTGAATTCTCTCCAAATGACGTCATTTTAGAGTCAATTTTGGTTCGCGATGTCATCATACCAAAATATGACGTGATATATGACCTTACTGTCACATGCATAAACGTCGTGTCATGATCAAACTGACATATTTATGAGAACGTCAATTATACCATAGTTATACCATATTTCAAATACGACATGGCTGACGTAATCGTACTGCATTTTTATTATTGTGAACTACGTCTTTTCCCAGTTGTGGATGCACGGGGAGGTGAAGGGGGTTATTACCTTTCCCCCCAGAAAGGCCTAAGAAAATTTAGATTATCAAAAAAACACACAAATTATTTTTTAGAGGCTTAAAATGAGTTTTGGGCGTGGCACCCAAAAAACTTTTCTGCCCTTCAAGTATAGACCACGAGCCGTTACTGGTCGAAAAGCTCTACCCCCCCTAGAATTGTGCTATAGATCGGTAACTGCAACAAATTCAAGAGCCAGGAATAGACAAAAATTGAGAAATATCGTATCGAAAGTATCGATATTTTCCTGAAATTAATATCGTTATGAAAAGAAGTATAGAAAGAATATCGTATCGATACCTATGAATATCGATAAACCCTTCTCTAAAAAAAATGAAGAAGTCACATTTTTGACAGTTGACGTAATCGTCTCGCCGGCCATCTTGAATTTATCACAAGGTCGAATTTTTGTCTGTGTGTTATCTTTTTGTCGCAAATTTGCTTTATATAAAATTTCGATATTTTCCTCGCCTCCCTGTCGTTCTCGTTTTAAAAGTGTAATTATTATCATGTGCTTAGTCCCCTCAAAGTGGTTCCTGTTTCTGTAAGAGAGTACCATCAAATCTTATGTGAGTGCACCCAAATTCAGCAACACTTTCACCTAGTGCTTTGACATTTTTGGCTTGAATGGACTTTTTAGGTGCCACCGCAAAAAGTCCACAAACATATTGATAACTTTTATGAATATTTCATATTTTAACAATATGTTACACTGCAAGTTGAAATTTAAGCCATAAATGGAGCAGGTTCTCCTATTAGCCAAGGTGTTAAATAATGTCCTTCTCCTTGAACCAATTTTTATAAACAAAATTCCAAAGAATTATAGACAAGGGTACCACCTTATATGTGTTTAAAAATAGACTCCATTATCGGTTTTTGATAAGAATTTCTATTCAAGGCAATTTTGTTAATATCAGCAACATCAGCATTCCAGTGTGCCTTTCACAAACAAATAATTTTCAAAATACCACACAAAAGACTACACTGGCAAAAACATGAGTTGCATTTTGCCGATTTTATTTTTGAATCAATGCCAAAAGTATTGGCAAACATTTTTCTATTAAAAACCGAAAATAATTTTCATTGTATTCCAGTCAAAATGGACATAGTTGATCAACCGAACTCGATATGCCACATTCAATCGATCCACATGTACACTCTGCAACCAGTGGATCCAGAGAAACCACCGCCTTTCGGTCTTTTAGCAGGCGAAACAGTTCTTCACTCAGGAATTTCAGTCGACGGCCAAATTGTAGTAACAAACTACAGAATCTACTTGCAAAACGGCGAGAATCAATACCATATTCCTCTGGGCCTTATTGAGACTATCGAAATAAGGGAATTGTTTTATTTGCAGCTGTTTTGTAAGGATGCTAGAACTTACAGGTACACTTATTGAAAATAATAAATCTGTTTTTATAAAGCATGCTTCTTCTCATTTAAGGTGTACTTTTGAAAATAATGAAAGTGCACTCGAGTGGTATGATAGAGTATTCAAAGCTTCTGAACCACCTCGCCAATTAGAGCAGCTATTCGCTTTTTATCATTGTGTTTGGGCTAAAGAAAAAGGTGGCGAGGAAACAAGTATTAAAGTTGACCGTCAAAAACGCTATACTTTTGATAAGGATATGTTTGAAAATGAGGTAATAATTTAAAAAAAAAAAGATAACATTATAAGAATCAGGTTTTTTTTATTTAATTATAGATGACAAGAATGCAGTTCCAAGGTGACTCTTGGAGAATTTCCAAAGCAAACGAAAACTACAAAATATGTCCAACATATCCTCCTTTCCTACTGGTACCCTCTTGTATTAACGATGAAATGCTTGAGAGTGTAGCGAAATTCAGAAGCTCTAGGAGAATTCCTGCTGCTGTTTGGAGGCACCCAAGAAATGGCGCTATCATTGCTCGTTGCAGTCAGCCTGAAGTCGGCTGGTTCGGTTGGAGATCCAGTGAAGATGAGGATTTACTAAAAGCCATCTCTGATGCTTGCAATTTCGATAGGAATTTACATGCAAACAGTACTAGTGACAAGGATTCTGTGTTGTCTCATTCGCCAGGCTCATTGAATTCGGACGAATCCTTACAGATTACTGGAGAAGTAGTGCAGCATGAGAAAAAAGTATGTTATTATTATTATTATGGATATTAGTGGTAGGCGGATGGGTAACCGATGAGACCACTGAGTCTTGTAGTTTTTCACAGTTTGTTCACAAATTAGACACCATAATGCACAAACATATTGTGCCAGCCCCTCATTTCTAAAGCTAAAGGAGTTTTTATTTTGATTTCTTGATGTTGCACTAATTGTTTCATGACTAAGTCTAATCCACTGGTAGACCACTCTGTCAAGAAATTTTTTCTTGGTAACTAGTCTTTTCTTCTCAAGTTTCTGGTTATATGCTCTGGTATTGATGGCCAGGAAGAAGGTAATGTCACATGGCATAGTGACCATATAGTTTCAATGAGGTTTCTTCTTCTGTCTTTTAATGTAGTTAGGTTTAGTTGGTTAAGGTGGATCTCTTAGGGTAACTCTTCAAGTTCATTAGGTATCCTTGTAATATGGCGCTGTACTCTCTCAATCAGTTCAATGTCTTTGATGTACCTAATATGGGTTCCAGATGGACTAGGCGTATTCGAGCTTTAGTCTTACATAAGTTTTGTAGAGGTTTAGAACCATTTCTTAAGATATATTTTTGAATGAGGTAGATTAGTCAATTGGTTTTTTTGTCATTTAGGTGATATGTTGTTCCCTAGGTTGTTTCCATTTCAAGTTTATTCCTAGGTTTTTGTGACAAAAAACTGTTTTAATTTACGTTTGTTGGAGGGAAATCATGTTAAGGGTTATTGCGGCTGTCATGTAGACTGTGTACTTGACTGTCTACTCTTTGATCGTGTAGGTACAGTGTATTGTATGTATTGTAGGATAGGCCTATGCGAGGGGTGGTTAACTCCTTGAAATATGTACATAGATTTTAAATCTTCATGATTTTGTAGGATTTTGAGGATTTTGAAAATTATCACATGATTTTACAGGATTTTAGGTAATTTAGAATGGTTTCTAGAGATCCTAAAGGATTTTATAAGATTTTGCCGGATTTTTTTGTTCTAATAAAATTTTGTGAGATTGTGTAGGATTTCCAATCAATCATCAGATCCAGAAAATTAAACAATGGAATATTAACATGCTTCTTTGTGCACCTGTAGTTCGCATTTTTTCTGTTCGGAAAGTACCTTGCTGTCTGTCTGGTATGGTATTCATGAACAACTTGTATCCGAGTTAGAGTAATATTTTTGAGATAGCTCATATTTGTGAATAAATGTACATACTTGGAGAATGTAGATTTAATGTTAAGTATTCCTCTTGGACCATAAAGAGTTTCCATTGTGTGAAGACGTGGCAACTGGTACACATATTTAACAGCTCTATTCTGTAACACCATAAGAGAATGAAGGTGCTTTTGATTTGTGTTGCCCCATAAGTTAAGTATGACAGATGTGAGTTTATCAGGGAGTAGTACACCATTTTACGCTGTTGTATATTTTTGTACTTAGCAATTCTTCCAAGCATACCCACAGCTGAAGCAATTTTGTGACATGTAGTTGAAATAATATGTTGTGCCCTTGTAAGACGATTATCTATGTACAATTCAAGATACTAAATGACATTTTGTTTGCTAAATTTGAATTTTCCAAAGTTTAATTGCGATTTTGAGAGATTTCGGCTGATTTCAGTAGGATTTGGGAAAGATTTCGAGGGATTATTTACTGTGACAAGAGGAATTCGGGTGATTTTGAAGGATTTCGGAAAATTTCAGGTGATTTCGCAAATATTTTAATTTGATTTTAGACTGTTACTTATCTTATAAGTATATTCGAAAGTGTGTCAGTATAAACTGAAAAACGGCCGCGTTGACCGATTTATGAATTTTGGGCCAATTGCGAAGGATTTTTGGGTCTACGGAAAGATTTCTGAGAGATTTCGGAGTGATTTCGTCGATTTCGGAAGGATTTCCGTAGGATTTCAGAAAGATTTCGGGGATTTCGGACGAATTTGCGACACGATTTCGGGGAGTGATTAACCCCTCGCTCCACATGTTATATCTTATGTTGTAGTACTCAGTACATTGTTGCATAGTACTTTTCGAGTTCAATCACATAGTTTTTCAATCATACTAAGGCCATTCCAGTTATTCTAGTTTGTTCTAGCACTGTTATATAAGTATATCATGGTCAACTGTATCAAAGGCTTTCGCAAGTCCAGTGATACAAGTACACAACTTAACCCTTTGTCCATTTTGCTATATAGATATATGCAAGCAAATAGTAATCAAGTCCAGGAATCTGATGAATCAAAGAATTGTACAATTTGGTGATTAATACAGGATTCCAAAATTTTTGACGACATGTTTGTGATATTGGTCGATAACTTCTAGGTTGCTTTGAGTCACCTCCTCTATACAGTGGTACAACTTCTGCCATTTTCATTGAGTTTGGGATTGATCAAGTAATGAGAGATTGATGATATCAATGCTGAAGCCATAATTACATGTGATTTCAAGGGATTTTGTGAGGTTTTGTTAAATTTTTTAAGATTTTCAGGAATTTTTAGTAGATCTTACGAGTTTTTTTGGGATTTTGACCAACTTTACACAGTGTTCGACCAATTAACCGCTCCGAGGTTTAGTTAACTTCATAAAATATGAACATATATTTTAAATCTTGATTGATTTTGTATTATTTTGAAAATCTTAACAGAATTTTACAGGAGTTCGGAAGATTTTAGATTTTTAGGATTGTAGGTGATTTTTGAGGTGATTTCGGAGCATTTTAGGGATTGTTTCAAGGATTTTTAGAGATTTTAACAGATTTTCGGGGATTCCAAAAGCTTTTTGGGGATTCCAAAAGATTTTTGGGAATTTCAAAGGAAATATTTTTTAGGAATGTTAATGATTTAACGGGATTTTTTTAGTTTCAATCAAATTTTGTGAGAGAGTAGGATTTTATGCTATTTCAAAAGATTTTGTGGGGTTTTATTGAATTTTTAAGGATTTTAAAGATTTTCAGGGATTTTAAGTGGATCTTATGAGATTTTCTGGGACTTTGACCAACTTGTACAGGGTGGGCCAATTTGGACACTTTCTTATGGAAACACCCTTTATTTTTAGAGATAGAAAAAAATGAACCCCCCACTCTGAGGCTCAAATTTCATGAAATTTTGATTGGTGCAAACCGCATTTTGATATCTTTAACCGTTTAGCCGCTAGAGGGCGATTCTCGATTTTGAGCAATACTGTGAAACCTACATAACTTTTTTATTTATGAAAATAATTCATTTCTGTAAAGACTTTCTAGAAGCACTTTTTTAAGTGGAATTCAGTGACGTTCTCAGCTTTTTTGTATTTAGCTCCGATTCCGAGATATTGACCAAAATCCGATTTTTTTCAATAGGACATCCTATATATTAATAGCTCATTGAAAAGCTTTGCTTTTGCTGATTTCAATGATATAAAATTCAATAGGTTTATCTCCAACGGTTTCCGAGAAAAAAATTATTTCGATTTTTGTCATAAGACACAATGTGTTGGAAAAGGACTTTATATCTGTAAGAAAACGAGAAAGGTCTCTTTCTAACACATTGTTTCTTATGACAAAAACAGAAATAATTTTTTTTCTCGGAAACTGTTAGGGATAAACCTATCGAACTTTATATCATTGAAATCAGTAAAAGCAGAGCTTTCCAATAAGCTATTAATATATAGGGTGTTCTATTGAAAAAAATCGAATTTTGGTCAATATCTCGAAATCCGAGTCAATTAGAAAAAAACTGAGAACGTCACTGAATTCTTCTTAAAAAAGTGCCTCTAGGAAGTCTTTACGGAAATCAATTATTTTCATAAACAAAAAAGTTATGAAGGTTTCACAGTATTGCTCAAAATCGAGCAGGGTTCGTAAATATCATGATATTTATTGAAAATATCAAAATATCGGATATTATTGATATAAATCGGATATATATCAAGAAAATGGATATTTTTGATATTTTCAGATTTTAAAAAAAAAAAAAACATTCAGTTTCAAAATTAATTCTTTAATATAATATCAAAAATAAAAATACATTTTAATGAAGCAAAACAACAACGTTTTTTCAAAAATACAAGAACTTAGGAAACAAAAACATTTCTTCTAAACTAAAAATACCAGAACTCAGAACTTTAAATTAATACCCATTAATATTATTAATGTTAATGTAATAATGTAGCCAGTGCCGCCAGTGGCACATCATCTTCTGCTCCAGAATCTATATCAGCAGATACAATACTAGGGGTTGCATAAGATCCAGATGCTTTTGTTGTCTCTGTCTCTGCTTCCCAGACAAAATCCAGATTGACAGCTTTATCTTTCGTATTCTGGTTAAAGTGCCTAAACAAAAATGTTAGTTTGCCAGCTTTTTCATTCCCCAGCTTATTCCTTAGTTTGCTATGAACAAATCCAAAAGTCGAAAAAATTCGTTCAAGGCCTGCTGAGGCTGAAACTGCTATCAAATGCTTGCTGCACATATCCAGAAATCCTTTTTGGAGCTTGGCCCAGTCAAAGTACTTTTCTGGCTCAATCAAACTTACAGCCTTCCACCATGTCATTGGAGGTGTAGTTTTAAAGTTATTTCCAAACATATAGGAAGGGAAAGGCTTTGAGCACGTAGTTAGTGCCATTACTATAGGAATAAACGCGTCATTGATGTTCTGTAAATATTCAAATGCTAATTGTTTTTCTGCATTACTTATTTGATGTCCTCGAAATCTGTGATCCAATAAATTTGCTAAATAATGTGCTGGAGTCAAAGCCATTTCCTTTCGCTTCTTAAACTCTTTTAAAACATTTTCAGGCTGCCCCTTAAGATCCCCACCTAACTTCCTCCATATTTCAACTGCCACTGCTATTGTCGAACCATCTCGTTGCATTCTATCCAGTGCAACTGCAATAGGTTTCATTCGAAGCAAGAAATCTCTTGCGTTATTTGTGATGTTTATGTCATTGACAATTCTAGAAATATTACTGTCAACTGATTCTTTGTTGTCTTGACAGACCTGAACTAATATACCCCGGTTTTCCAGGTAGCAT